AGCTAAACGGATATTGTTTATTTTCTTTTATGCAAAATTTACGATGAGCTACGGTATTGAGAGCACAAGGTAGGTGTGAAGAAACAATCACTCATGCAGCTAACCTAATTATTTTAAGTCTGGTGCAAAAACGCATGATCGCACCGGCATCGCCTGGTGCGTTCCAGTCTGGGTTCCGTTCAGTGATGAAAATTTTAACAGCTCGAACCTTCTTTATATTTCATTGTCTTTGTGAAGAAAATTTGCCAAAAATAGCCATCTGTTGACAACAGGCCTCGTTACTTCGTCTTTCGAGGTCTAATTGATAGCAAGCTGAAAATATTTGAAATTCCGACACTCTAGCTGTATCCACTACCATTTTCCTACCAAAATGCATCAACAGAAGGACGGATTAGTCCATCAATATGTGCATCTTAAAAGTATCAGATTGCTATTGTAATTTGTTAGCGGTAACAGTTATTTAAGCAAATAATTTAATTTACGTCAGTGTGGTGGGTGAGAAATTGAAACTTATCACCCAGTTTGAAAAGAAACAAAGTTCTCATCACTTCGGTTGCATCACAGGCACAATGTGTTTGTCTCAAATTATTGCATAAACGGGATTAGCTGAACAGAAATTTCAGGCTAATCTTAGCTGTATCAATTGAACGATTTCTGGTCATAAAATCGCCGCTACGCTCCCGTATTTACTGGAAAACTCGTTCAAAAATATTACTCATTGGAGGAATTTTTTTGACTACAGGTTCCTGTTTTTTTTTTATGAAATGGCAGTTTCATTTTTTTGTTGCTTAGAAATTACGGGGAATGCTTAGGCAATAACCGAAGCTTCCAAGCGTCTCTGAGATAAAACCACACGTCGTACATAATCATGCCAGATCTCTGCCCTGCGCTTGCAGTGATCGCGTGTTCGTGTTCATTGTATAATTTTTAATAAAATATGAGATAAGAGCCGGAAAGACCGTACCGCCACTTTAATTCCACTGTGTTCAAGGCAATAAGATGGACACGAAACGAGTTTACTGCCGAAAGTTGAAGAGCGAGCGCTAGCGGTGAAAGAAAGAACGGCGGAGCAAAAGACGCTTGGCGTGTCACTTCGCGACCATAAATCCAATAAGTCTCTTCATCACGTGAATGGTATACAGGATGTCTCTAAGACCACGCGAGAAAGTAAAAGCCGATGGGGAGAGTATGCTGTTTGCTTAGCCGACACTGGATGGGCGTCGCAAACCCGTGAGTACTCGCGAAAAGGACAGGGAACATTCCGTTAAAATTTCAGCCTTCCAGCTTTCCTAGTTCCCGAGTTAGCCATTTTTCTGCCAAAAATTTCCACGGGGCCGTGTGTGGGTACCATGTACATAGAGAGACTAAACTTAGCAACTTTACATGTGCTAGGAACATCCCCAAAAATTTTCAGCCTCCCAGCTTTTCTGGTTCCCGAATTAGCCATTTTCTTGCCAAAACTTTTCACGTGGCCATACTTGAGAACCACGCACACTGAGGGGATGAATTCGATAAATTTATGTTATACATGTGCTGGGAACATTCCCTGAAAATTTCAGCCTTCCAGCATTCCTGGTTCTCGAGTTAGCCACTTCTCCGCCGAAAAATCCACGGGCCATACGCAATAACCACGGATGCTTGAGAGCTGAATTTGTTAAATTTGAGTTGTACATGTGCTGGTAACATTTCCTGAGAATTTCATGGATCTCAAGTTAGCGGTTTCCTCACCAGGAGCCTTCACGAGGCTGTATGTGAGAACCACGCATGCCTGGAGGCTGGGTTTGAAATCTTTGTGTTCTATATGGACGGGGAACATAACTGCAGAGTTTCATGTCTTTAGCTTTCCTGGTTCCCGAGTTAGCGACCTTCCCACCAAAACTTTCACACTCTCGTACGCGGGACCCAGATTTACGTGGGGGTTGGTTCCGCGGTCCTGGAGTGGCACTTGGCCGGGGAATCCGTAGGCAAAATTTTGCTTGGGTGCCGAGTTGAAATACCCGGACAAACAAACACACGCGCACCATGGGTGGTCACAATATGCGTCTTCGCATTTGCACACATGCAAAGATGCATAAAAACGCATCTTCGTACCGGCAGCTGGTGCGCTGTCGACAAAGTTTTCTCTTGATTTCTTAACATCACGTACGCATGAAGGGTGGTAGTGCATGAAGATAAAATGAAGTGTTTGATTGCAGGTATTCTGACATTTTATCACCATTTCGCATACGACTGCCAGATCTTCTATATGTGTAGCGGCCGACAGTTGGCTCATGCATGCTATTCAGCAGCAGTGGAAGCCCATCCCACTTCTTGGATGGATGGCACTGTTGTACAAAATTCATTTCCCAAACGTCTTTACATACAAATAAGCACGATCAGCAATGCTGTGATGGTAAAGCTTTGCATAATGCAGTTCAGTCCAATAACTCAAGGCGTTTCGAAATCGACATTCTTCGTCACTTGTTTTACAATGTTGAAGGAGCAGGAAACGCGCTGCAGAGCAGATACTCAAGCAGCACATCTTACATTTTTTTTTTCGAAACTGTTTAGTCTGTTTTACCCAATATTTTGCAACTTTTTAGTTGTCAACAAATAAAAACATTTTCTAATGCGTCCTTCCAAAAACTGTCAAAACTTTTTTCCTTCTCCTTTTCCTCTGCCCCTCCTATCCAGTCCCTTTCCGGCTCGCCCTCAACCTATTCCGATGCAGTCAATTTTTCCCAAAATCCGCTTTCTTCCTTAAATCCTTAGCCACTTTGCTGATTTGATACTTTAAATTTTCAAATTATTCAAAGTTTGTTTCTCGAAATTAATCAGTTTCCAAACTTCCATGGAGCAATTGGGATAAAAGACAAGTGTAATTAAAACTCATTATCACTTAATTGGTATCCAGTAAAGAAATGTAATTCTCCAGCCTCAGTTAATTATAAATGTATATTGCTTAAAAAACGCGGAGGAAGAAAAAGCGCTTTTTTACAGTTACTAGGTGTTAGATGTCAAGAATTTTGCTGTCAACCGACGGAGGAATAGAAGAGGTGTTTTATTAAGCGAAGCGTCATTTTGGTCAGGTGAAGCGTGGCTGAGTGCTTCCATCCTCCCTTTTCGGCATCGCGAAATAGTGCAATGCACTGATTCGGAAACTGGTCATTTTGTGATGCTGAGTTCCAGGTTGTATTCATGCCGATGATGGGGATCATCGTGCTAAACATTATGATAATCCACTGCTTGCACCAAAGTAGCCGCGTCTTGCGTATCGAAGCGCCAGGCAGTCATGGCTTCAAACACATACAACTGGTCATTTGTTTTCTTTGCTCTTCAGAACGGCGCAGCGATGCCAAGGCAGCGGATGGGAAGGAGTAGGTGCCCCGTTGTTCAGAGATAGCAAAAATTTTCGTTCTCTTTCAAAAAATTATTATTTATTGAACATTTAAGTCAATAACCCATATCCGTTGTATTACGAAAAATACCGGGACGGCAAGGTAGTCTGCATGGGGATCCCATCTTATCAAAATTACTGATATGTTCTCATACGTCAGGAACAGCTATGTCAGGCCTCTCGAATCTGTGCAACATTTCTCCAGTTTACTCATCTCCTGTTCAATATATATGCGTTGCATCGCACGAATTCACTTCCTTGCGATACTATTTACTATTCACGATGTCCACAGGTTATCAGGAAGATGAGTAACACGTCCACTTTGTAAAGCTTTTGTACTTAGTGTACCTCGGCTCAGTCACGACCCAATGCAGTGTAGCACCTTCTAAGTCATTCTGACGAGCCTGGACTGCGTAAGGAAGTTTGGATACTCGTCTCCTAAAATACAAGTCTATGAAAGGCGCAATAAAGTGATTAAGAAGGTAACTGAGTTTCAGCGACAAAAGCGC